AACAATCGTTAATTCAAGTATATCAAGTGTTAAATTATGTTTATCTTATTTTTGTGAATTTGGCGTGCAACGGGTAGTGCTTTATAATGCTTCCCTGTACTGCATGGACTGTATAAAAAAGAATATCATGGTAGTTTACGAATTTTAGGACAATGCTATGAAAATAATAATCAATAATAAGTAAATTAACTTATTTTGAAAAAGACAGATTTTATTATCTAAAATGCAGGATACAGGAACTGATACTTACATTGTGTACGGAGAGAAGGATGGTGTATTGATTTAAGTCTTCTTTCTTTGGCTTTTAAATTAGAGAAAGATTACACCAAGGGAAATATAAAATTTAAGATTTGAACGAGATAGCAGTAACAAAACCTTTTTAGACGGAGGCTTAGCCTCCGCTCTATTGGTACCGCTCATCTGAGGCGGAAGGGAATTTGCGATCGCCATCTAGCGGCAAATCACGTTAACTTTGATTAGCCTGGTCCCCAGGCTCATACTTTCCAAGGCAGGAGTACACGAAGCAAAACAGGGACAGGGAACCAGGCTAAATTTTGATAAACTGGCCTGCCTGTCTGATATCAGATATGCGCTGTATACAGACAGGTGATCAGTGATGTATAGAGTCTGCTGCTGACACGCTCATTGGCTGATAAAAACTCTCGCTGACACAGAATTTAAATTGTCGGGGAAACCAAAACAGATCACCGAGTGCAGTTCTCTGCATCTGATTTTGATGCAATTCATCTAATTCGGTCACAATATTTTCCAAAAACAATACATAATTCTTTTTTTTTCCTCATGAACCTATAATTATCTGACCTCGCCTGAGGGCTTTTAAATTAGTTTGCGAAGGTCCTATCACATTAATACCCTACATTACCAAGGTAAAAGAAATCTGCATCATTGTTTAATTGAAACTGACATATTTTAAATGTTCACTCACTGACTCAGCAGAGAGCTGCGTCTTATCTGTTTATAGCACAGGTACAGAATCTCTGCTGCATCTATTTTTAGAATTCCTTATCACATATTTCAGAAGATTTTGCAAACTATTTAGATGGGAAAAACTGACCCACATGTTTCTATGTTTATATGACCAAAACAGTGGCTTGAATCTTACTTTGTGGTGTAAATTAGTTAAGTAATATTATGGCTAATCTGTGCAAAAAAAGGATGCATTAAAACACTGTTGCCATGGAATCTGCAATAGTGACTCATAGTATGCCCACAAAAAATATATGCAAGGAGTTAAATTTATTAGGTTTCCCAAACCTTGGAGAGATATTGAAAAAGTGTCAAAGATGGGTGAATGCTTGTAAGCGGTTCATTGGTGGATCCAAAGGAGGGTATGTTCCGGGTTTGGAAGCCCCCTTTATTTTTTGTCAAGTGGAGAGAGAGAGAGAAAGAGAGAGAAAAAACATTTTCCGAGAATAAATTAAAATACATGTATTTGTACGTCTAACTTATGTATTAAATAGATAGATTCTCACACATTAAGTTTCTTCCACTCACTATTTCCTTTTATATGAAAGAATATAGAGTATACAGTACAACCCTGGAAAAAAATGGCTGGATCCACCTCTGAAACGGGAAGGATTTTCCAAAATTGGGTATTATCCGTAAAATCACATATAATACTGGATATTGGAGTTTTATGAAGAGATTTACTTTTACATTTGACAGCTGACTTTTACATTTTAGTGACTGGAGTTTGTCAATGTTTAAATTGTAAAAGTCAGTCGTCAATTATAAAAGTAAGTCTCTTCATAAAACTCCATTAGGGTATCGTTGAATCCATGAGATCTAGTATTAAGGCGTTGTAATCACTTTATTAAACTTAAACAATGGGATGGCACATTTTGCGGTTCGTGTCAACTTTCACCTGGATGCAAATGTTTTCTTAAGGTATCACCAGTCAAGTAAGAATTTGGAAGTCAGGATTAATGCACACTGGAAAATAAAAGCTATAGAGCTTATGACATTTCATGATCTGGACCAAACAGGCGTTTATTCTGCTTAATATTTTTCATAATTTTGGAAATATTTGCATCCTCTTCATGTTCATTACCCAACACAACAGAATTGTTAATCAAAAGTTGAATGTGCATGTTTAGATCTATGCATTGATATATCTGAATGCTTGTATCTCAGATCACTTGAAAAAGACGTTAATGGTAATAATACAACCAAGCTCGATGATAAACGTGATGACTTTAAACTTTTCTATCGTCAACTTCCCTTACTTATGCAGCAATTTACCTTCATCACCTGCATACGGAGTTTGTATATCTCAGTTAATTCGATACGAAAAAGCATGCTCTACGTATGAACAATTTCTAAAATTATTGACAAAAAAGTTGATGAAACACGAATATCAGCAGTCTTATTTAAAATCATCATTTCGTAAGTTCTATGGTCGATACAATAACCTTGTCAGCAAATACAGTTTATCATTGAATCGAATGCTGACTGACGTTTTCCATATACTAGATTGTAGTATAGTCCATTATTTATATACTGAATTGACGACGGATTTTTCCGTTATTTTCCGATCATGACAAGGAGCACACGGCGGGTATGACCGGTCGGCAGGGGATGCTCACTCTCCATGGCACTTGATACCACCTCAAATGTTTTGGAGGTCCGCGTTAGTTCTAAAGACAATACTTATTATCCATAAAACGATTTAGATTGCATAAAACGTCTAACTTAAGTACTTGAACGTTTACTTTTGCAAAAATGGGGTTGATAATATTTATTTTCCAGTATAATTTTTATGACAATCATCTCATACGAATGATACAAAAATAATCACAAGAATTTATGGCACTATTAAAATATAACAACTTATTTTTGGAGAGAGCAGTTATAAGAGGGATGTCAGACTATGTAGCATTATACCCTTATCATCTGCAAATGTGGTGAACATGTATGTCTCTCAGTTGATTCGATACGCAAAAGCATCTTTTTGTGCAAAAAAATTTTAAAACGAGACTACATATTGACAAACAAGTTGATGAAACAAGAATATTAACATTCTCGTTTAAAGTAATCAATTTGCAAGATCTATGCGGTTGATACAATGGCCTTGGCAGCAAATACAGTTTGTCAAAGTCAAATGTTGACTGGCATTTTTATAAACTGATTAATTGTTAGGTCATTATTTACACATTGAATTGTCTGTGGATTTTTTTTTCGTTTTTCGATTATATGACAAGGAGCACACGGCGGATGTGACTGGTCAGCACGAGATGCTTCCTCCTCCATGGCACCGGATCCCACCACTTATATTTTACAGGTCCGTGTTTGCCTCCTGATTTGTAAATACATGTATGTTTCGATGGTCTTTTTGAGCTTGAGTGCTGTTCTTTATCTCTATATTTCATTATCCGACATTTTAAATTTTTGAAGTCGATTTGCAATATATTTGCATTTAGCCGTTATGTAAATTGTGTAAATGCATTATGGTCATTTTGGGGGGTCAGTTTATGGAACATGGAGTAGATGCAGCAGGGGGGAGGTGGGGGTCCGTTGGACCTTTTATCAACTTACTAAGTAAAATTAGAAAGAAAAAAATAAGCAATATCCTTGAGCTAGACTCACTGGTATCAAAACAACGAGCATTTCTTTTAATTAAGCAGGTAAATAAAAGGGCAAATAGACCACAAACTGCGATTTTGTTGTACTGTCGTGAACTCGATGGTCGCTCATTGTTTCGTATTGATTATCTCTGGTCCATCTATATATGAACACGAAGTAAAATAGATTAACATTCTGATTTATTTTTAAACTCCCATATAGTTGTTCAGAAAATTTAATCAATTCCTAATCGGTCCTGTACTGACTTACGAGTGGGGTGTTGGCTTACAAAAAGACATGGGTTGTATGGTTTAGATGGTCTCTAGCATTGTATTCGTTCCTAGCCAAACATTATTATAAGGAGTCTATGAATTTTAAAAGCCTTTAAATAGATCAAATGTCGGGGTCTTTTTCAATAACGACATTTAATGAAATGGACCTGTACTTATAATCTATAGGTGCAGATCGACAAAGTCAAGTGGTGGATCGCAGACTTTTTTCAGATATTTCATGATCGTTTGCTTTTATTCGTTCACTGAAAACTGCAAAACTGAGAAATGTACACTGTGTTCTGAACCCCCCCCCCCTTTTTTCGGATTTGTAAAGGGAAACAATCCACTCCATCAGAATATATTGAAATCGTTCAGATTAATTTACCAGTAATATCAAAAAACTGATTATGTTTCATTGTCTTCATTTTTTATATGTTTTCTTTTTATGACGAGTCAAATAAATATCTGAATATTTTAGGAATATTAAATCAATAGAACAGAAGTTTTCATTTCTATCAATTCTTTTAAACATGAATCCAATGGCGGATACACTTATATGAAGAGAAGCATACTTTTAGCTTACTATGTCACTAGCCGACATTCCTTTGCTCTGTCTGGAACATTTACGTAATATTAACCGAAAGACTAAGTATTCTGAAGCAAGCTTGTTCTTTTATATAGTTGGTCTACAAGCACATGTACTTTTGTCTGATCTTTGAAAGGAAGTAAAGTTTGAAAGCGACAATCTGAATCAAACATGCATAAAACAATAAAAAAAAACTTTGCTTTTATACTTGTTAAAATTGCGTATCGGACAATCTTCAGACTTAACTGTTTTAACATGTTTTTTCCTGCCATGTAAGCAAATAAAGATCTGACAGACGACCTAATCATTTCTTTTATGTCCTGATCAAGGGGGTGAAAATACACGTATACTAACAGTTTTAAACAGAACTTCAACTCTTTAAGTCAATATTTATACCTCATAAATACCTTGAAATCTTTGTTACGTTTTCGAAAGGGTAAAGTAATAAGATTAAATTTCCATTGATTAAAAGATAGTTCTGTTTATTTCCGTTAAAGATCGAATAGCATTTAAACCGAATTTTTTAACCATGCCTTGCGAACCATAGATATTCATCCTCGGGTATAAGTGATGGCCTATTAAAATTCCACAACGTGCGAATATTGAGGAATTTTCTCTTCTTAATATTGAAAATAGCAATTTCTCTAATGCTATATTTCGTGTAACATTAAAACTTTTATCAAAATTTTCACCTCTCAAGCAGGTGCGTGCTTAATATTATTCAATGTGTCATAAATGCTCGAATACAACATAAGACTTCATGCTGATTCATTAATAATTTTATAAAATACGAGTATCTGTAAATAGAGACGAACATAGAATTCAATTCAATTTGTCTTTTCCACTAGGAATAATTTGCAGTTGTTTCTATAACCACCTGTTGATAGTAGTTCCCACTTCTAAACGTTTACCAGCAATTTCAGGCAGAAGTCCAGAAAAGGAATGCTTTTTGCTCGAAGATTTCTCCTTGCCCCCTAGACTAGAATAGCTCTGGACCCCCTCTGACGGGGGCTGTTCTGAGAGGGGGAGTGAAGCAGTTTCACACACAGAAGGGGGAGCAGAGTGAGTGACCTTACCGCCCCCTCCCGTCGTCCGCCTCTGGCCTTTATTGCCAGTTAGAGTATTGAACAGTGATTGTTTAGTTGTTTCTATTGCCATTTTGTAAGAGTTAAGAGCTTTTTCGAGATCTGGACTAGCAATTTGAAAATTGTCAGGAATAGAAGGAACACTGATTGATGCCGCATCACTTCCGGTAGAATTAGTGTACCGTAGTTGGTTGTTTTTAGATTTCTTTGACTCCGCGGCGATTAATCTCTGAGAGGGCGTAACTCTTTCCACAGGCTTTAATTCGCCCCTCTCCATCGGTTTCAGCTCCGCTCTCTCAAGTTGTTTTAACTCTCCTCTTCGAGCCACAGATCTTACTGTCATTGTCTCTGTCGCGTTTTGTCCGTCTTTCTTCTTAATGGGCGAATTTCTCGAAGATACGTCTTTGCCTTTCGTCTGAAGCAAAAGTTTTGATATGTCCGTGACTTCGTGCGATTTTCTTAGCTTTGAATCACGTCTCAATTCTTCATTTAGAACAGTTATCCTTGAAGAGATTTTGTCGATGTTCAAGTCACTAGAGGCATTGTTTAGCGTATCTGAATTATTGTTCATTTCGTGTTTGCAGTCGCTTATGTAGTCTCGATTAGATTTTGGTGCCTCCAATTGCACACTAGGAACACGAATACTCTCAACATGTTCTACCTTAATGTCGCTTGGTGTAACACTTGCGGTATTATCTTGCACTTTTTCTAAGACAATCGATTGCTGTCGACGGTTGTGGTTGTGAAACTTTACTTCCAAATCCCTTCTCAAATTCCGCTTCATCTCCTTATTGTGTCTTTTATTTTGCCAGTGCATAGAAACTATCTCCGGGTGTTTTTTGTTTATAGTGTACCACTCTCTTCTGTCACGATAGTCCAGTATTTTCACCGTCCTGTAATAGGCATTGTTTGTGACGTAACGGTACGTCCCCTGTTCTACGTTGGCTTTCCAGCCTGGAACAGGGAACGTGTCAAAATCTTCACCCACACATTTGACGGATATGTTACTTTCCGACTCCTCAACTTTATTAACGTCACGGTTCTGACGTTTGATGACGTTAGAGACAGCGGAGGTCGGCACATACCGCGGGAATGGTACTGTATTCTTCCAAGCGCTGACAGCCTCATTCCAGTCGCTGTGTGCAGTTTTCTTCTGAGCTGTATTATCCAGCGGATTACATCTATCACTTTGTTCAATCAGCGCATTTGTGTAGTTTCGGTCATTATCATAATGATTGTCAAAGGAATCAGATTCAGAGTAAAAATCTTTGAAAATGTTTACAAATGTCATCTTCTTGTGACTCCCTGTAATAAATTAAATGAAACCATTAAAATTTAAATCAGCCTCTGGCCCATAGCAATGTAATCAATTTCTGTGACTGCTCTCTTGATCATCTTTGAAAACTTGCGCAAGAGAATTTAATTGTAAGTCCATTGGTGTGTATTGATTTTACATGGCACAGATCTTCAGTAAGCTCAGAATTTGACACCTTTAGATTTAAATCTTTTAAGCATTAACTAATCTGTGTAACACTGACATGAAATTTCCTGTCGTGTAAATCAAAACTCAATGTCTTTGAAATTATCAATGTTGAAACTATAATTAAAATTCTTTTCCACACTGCAGCAGTGTAGTATGTGTTTCAAAATGGAAGAAATCAATGATTTCAGTTCACAATGTAAACCATTGTTAAATATCATGTTGAATCATCTTACCTCATTACTTGGAATCAAAACCGTATCATGCCCTCACAAATTTTTAATCCTATCAAATTAAATTCGATGGCATCTCAGTGCCAATCCATCGTAGACTGCTAATTCTAAGTAAGGTCGAATCTTATTCGATGCACAGAATGACACTCGCACACAAACTGTATCCACAAATATTCAATTTGTGAATGTTTAAACACTTTCTATGATTTGTAATCATAACAGTATTTTTTACATTCGAGTTTTTAACACTTGTGGGCGTCTGCACCAGAGCAGAGGGAACACGCACTATCGCTACCCTTATTTGTTTTCGAGTAATTTATTTTAAAAAATTTAAATGTCTATTTTTAAAAAAGAAAAAAAAAAGGTACTCTGAAGCGCTTGACCTCACCGTGGCAACTAAAAATACACTGTACCTTTTAAACTGGTCCTCAACGTAAACTATTACGTTAAACGCTTATATCAATACAAAGTAGTGTTTTTATTTCTAAAGAGTTAATTAAGTAGATCTACTGATTTTTTTTAAATCTTGAATATTTTGTTTTATCATTTTCCTTTCAGACAAAGACGTAAATAAAGCAAATTGAAAAATTAATTGACAGCAATGATGTAAGGGGCAGAAGAAAAACAGGAAATGTATCTCACACATGCGCAGATGAATTTACCGCCGATCTTCTCAAGCACTGAAGCTCGAGGAAAACAAGGAAAGAAACCATGAATCGCCAGAAACTTAGAAAGGGTATTGTTCGATCTTCGGTATTTTTAGCCAGTCAACATTGGCAGTATTCAGAAAACGGCTTTCATCGTATAAACCAGGTATATTCGATTTTCAACATTTTGGCACAAATGTGACTTTCATTATTTTCACCTTCATTTCGGGTAGTCTAGCTATTCGATCTATTTCTTTTGCAGTGTGTTTCAATAAATTTGAAACATTTTTAAATGAATTTCAAAGAACTGGTTTTAAAGCTACTGAAGTAGTATGTGCCCAGAATGTTTTGATTGCTATTTCGAATATATGCGTATGCACTTGACTGATTGTTTTTTTTTCTAATTTTGATCTGTAAAATGCAAACAAAAGCTAATAGTGATATAAGGAAAATAATTCAAACTTATTTGATTTCAGTTAGTACTAGGAAAATTTCCAGTTTTTGTAGCTTTATAGACATAGACACCTGATGAAGTGGTTAAACAGGTTGGGACCATTCGCCCAAATGGGATATAATAGTCCGTTTGGGATATAATATCCCAAATGGGCTATAAATTTACAGTACAAAAATTGAAAAATTTTTATTTTGGCAATAAATATCATAAATCTGCATCAAAACACTTAAAAAGGAATAACTTTTGGTGAGCAAGTTTTTCTGCAACCTTACAGTTTGTAAGATTGATCCCCAAGAAGTTAAGGAACTTTCGAGGGATCTATCTCCTAAACAATGGGCATATGGGAAAACTTATCAACCAAACGTTATGCCTTTTTATGTGTCCTGATGCGGATTTATGATATATATTGCCAAAATAAAAATTTTCAATTTTTGCACTGTAAATTTATAGCCCATTTGCCAAACGGACTATTATATCCCATTTGGGCGATTGGTCCCAACCTGTTAAACAAATGCCTCTGATAATTTTCATTAGAAAACTTATAGAAGTTGGCCCAAGGAATTCCAATAAGCATTCTCAGGATATTTCATCACGATAAACAAAGTAGTAGTTGACGGCCTCCTGTTTTCTACCTGTGAGTGAAAATTAGGTTAACAGACGCAAATTTATAATTACAAAAAAAATCTAATTTTGGAAAAAATGGAAAAGGCGTTTGTCATTGCTGAACATACATACATAATCCATTGTTTGAAATAACCTTGCCCCCGACCGGACTAGCTGCAGAACTGTAGCTCTCTGCTTGACAAAATTTGAAAAGATAAAGCAGATCGAGAACTTCAGATCCAAGTGTTGTAAAACCCTTCGATTTACGCCGACAATTTTTTGTCGCTCACTATGGATATTTTTTCATGTATTTTATACTTTCCCCAGCTTTTAAAATCATTTTAAATGGTATTTAATGATTAATCATACATTCAACTTCAATTCCTGATCATTTACTTACCTCTCAACAGCTAACAAATGGCTGTTTGTGGATACAGACGTCGAAATGGAACTCTTTTAAACCGACATTATAAAACTATATACAGGACTGTTTCGGACTGTTAAAAGGTAAACAAAGTACATGTATCAAATATAAGAGTTAAATATATGAATTATTATGGGATACCATTCTAAGAGCCAGAGAAAGCTTAAACTATATGAAATAAATACCTAAAGTAGCGACACAAAATTGTCTGCGTAAATCGACGGTTTTTACATGCTTGGATCTGTAGCTCTCTACTTTATCTGTCTGAATTTTCTCAAGCTGAGAGCTACAGTCAGTTCTGCAGCTACGACCGGACGAGACGCACAAATTTTGCCATGGGCGAACAGATTTGCACATTTAGACACACGACTGGATGTGTTAAAATTTCCCTTAAATTTAATTATAAAATTCATATATTTGAAAAATCTTTCTCAGATCATCTGATAGTGTCAATAGCAAAGTGCAATAGATAAAAGGGGTAGAATTTGTTAGCCTGTAGATTCAGAATTGACGTTATGGTGGTCTGGCCTCATTCACATTATCGCTATAAATAAATTTATAAAAGACTATTACTTTCTGGGACTAGAGGATTTTTGGTAGGGCTGACAACTTGCTCTAGCAGTCAGCCCTGCATGTCTAGCTAATTTTACGGTGAGTTTCAAACACTGCATAAGGTACAGGGCTCTAGATTCTCTATATCTGGGGCCGATATTCCGCCCCGTTCCCAATCCAAAAAAGGTACGTTTTTTCCCAAAAGAAAGGTGTAAATTTCCCAATTTCCATTGCAAAATATTAATTAAAAAATAAAAGTCCTGAAACTTGATCGCAAAAAAAAAAAACAAAACAAAACACACTTGCAAATGAAAGTGAAACAAACTACTTCTATGTACGACTATTAATTAGTTCGCGGCAAATGCATTTGTAAACTGGTTCGGGGAAATGTGTAACTATGAGTGCAGAGTATCTTGTCATGTTCATTGTTTTAACAGAAATGTGTAAGCCTATGAGTGCAGAAAATTTAGGTTGGGTCGGTAAAAAAATCTTGTCATGAAAATCTAAATTAAGAGGTAAACATGGTCCAAACAAATGTCCTTTATTTTTGTTAATTTTTATATATTACAAAAATAGACATTTCATTTAAATATTAGTCAGCTGATCATCAAACTTGCACCATTGAAAGTGCATATTAAATTTAAGAATTTTTTTTGATACATACAAGTCAAATATGAAGGAAAAAAATACATGCTTGTACGGAAAATTATAAATAGTTAACATGGCATTTAACAATAAGTTAGATTTCACAGTCTCACCATCCTCTCAATCTCAGTATCATAATGGTATGGATTTAAAGGAAAAAAAGTCAATGTTGTCCCATGTGATCGAGACTGTCGGCATGTTCAGTCTCACGCTGTATTGGTAAGCAATGTTGTCCACGTGATCCAGGAAATTCGGGATTATGTAACTGGCGACTGTCACTCAGAAAGACAAATAACTGCAATATCAACACTCAAAGATAGTTATGACAGAGCTAATGTACTTTCATAAATAGCCTACATAGCCATACTTGTTCTGTTTAAGTGTTTATTCAAAACCAGAGTTAAATTGATGACAAAATGCTAGGAAAGCAAAATTTGAGGATTTTTTCAATGAATGTTGGTCATCTAACATCTCCCAAAATGACGATATTTTTCCCAATTTGAACGGCCCCAGTCCCAAAAAGTGGTGTGAGAGCCCTGAGGTAACTGTTGAATACTGTCGGTGTCAAAATTTCATATTGTGTTGTCTATTTATTCAACTTCAAAATATATTTTTTTATTTACTTTTTCTTACCATAAGATTTACAAGGTTGAAGGACCCTATACTACAGGCATTTTATTGCCTAGTTAGGAATTGATCATTTTCAAGATTATAATATTTTATAATGTAACAATACTTTTGTGTTTCCAGAATAAGAGAGTTCCATATTAAAGAAATTCAGATACCTGATTTAAAGCCTTAAATTATTTATAATTTTCTTTCAATCAAATTTATGACTTCAAAAAATGATTTCTTTATCAATTGTTCAAGTGTTGTTCAAAGTAAGTAGTTATAACAAATGTCATTTTGTATAACAGCTCCACCTTAGCAGAAATGACATTTTGAAAGCCGAAAATTCTACTTCAGATATTGTAATTTTTTTTTCCTCATTTAAAAAAATATCATTCTGTTGATTTTTGAAATTGAAAAATCAGGTTTGTGGGAAAAAATAATTTTAACATTAAAAATATTTGTCCAGGAAAGTAACTCCTGTTCCTCTAGAATCAAAATTGGCAAGATTAGACATCTGTGCTTGATTTTCAAATATATATAATGATGACATGTACATGATAAATGAAACTGAAAAAAAAAATAAGACCTAAGAATTCTTTTGTAATGAAAATGATATTTACATAATAAAAAAAAATCGTCCAGTCGATTTTTTGTAATACAGTTTTAAAAAAACACACATTTTGTTAAAATTAAAGAGAGAAAAAATAAGAAATTGGGTAAGATCGTGAGGAACTACACAAAATTTTAATTGGATTTTATATGGAACACTTATTAAGAGTCTTTTACAAATTATTTTAAAGCTACCAGAACACATTGTGGAAGACATTGGAGATGGATCGGGTGTACCAGAAGTTATTGTAGAGTTAGATCAGTACAGCGCACAAATGAACGGGGAAGATGATGTGTGCATGGAAAATCTAAAGGTAAATTTCAGACTAAGATCAATACAGTATATCATACACGTGCTAGATTGTAATTCACTGTATTAAATAGATAAATGAAGCTTTTGAATAATAATTGAGAATAATAATTATTCATTTCTTTAATTTTAATGACCATTTTAAAAAAGGTTATTAGATTGTAATTGTCACAAATCTCTTAAATAGACATTGCTGGGGAATTTGATGAATTTTGAGCCACGAAGAAGTCAGGATGATGCCACGGCAGATGAAGAACAAAACAAATACGCTGCTCAGTTCCTGCAGCATGGAGGAGTGGAGGTAAACAGGAAATTATTCAATTGCTTTCAGACTTTGAATGTGTCTTTAATCAGATTTTTTTTTTGCATCATTTATTCTGTAAATTGTAGGTCTTGATAAGGATTCTGATGTTCAACACCCTCTTCCCTCAGTCAAGCAAGAAGCCTAAAGGTGAGATGGATTAAATCTTCCTGTTGACATTTCCTTGTTTTGAGGAGCTTTTTACAAAGATACAATGGATTGTGTGAACATGCTCTCAATAGGTGGTTTTACAATTGCTGTTCAAAAAGTATTAAGACATTAACTCAGAAAGAGAGAAAAAAATCATTCAATTTGACACATTTTATCAAGAGCAAATATAATAAATGTACAAAGTTTCTTGTTCATAGTCCGTTGGATAAGTCTTAGTGAAATTATTTAACTAACTTACATTCGTTTGCCTAGTAAAAACTCTCCAGCTTTATTTTATCAGTAGGGTATTGTGAAGCAGAAGTAGTCCTCAGGATTAAAAGTTTGGTTCTGGAAATCCTGACCAAGTTTCATGTCACTGTAAGTATCATATTATCTACACAATGCCGTAAAATGTAAGACATTAAAATTATTTTTGGAAAGAGGAGACAATGTAACTTTGAGTATTTCAGGAGTGTTTTTGTTATTTTTGACTGATTTTTTTTAAGTCCATTGGGGAACAAGTGACCGCTATCCTGATGGCAGACGATGAGGTTCTAAATTATGTGTTCACTCTGTTAGCACACCAGAAAACATTTATCAATGCCTGTCAGCTGATTGAAGACATGCTACAATCCAGGAGGGAGGTCCTAGATCTTCACAGAATCAGTAAGTCTAAATCAAATTCCTACAGGAGGGAGGTCTTGGATATCCACAGAATCAGTAAGTCTAAATCAAACTCCCACAGGAGGGAGGTCCTAGATCTTCACAGAATCAGTAAGTCTCAATCAAACTCCTCCAGGAGGGAGGTTCTAGATCTTCACAGAATCAGTAAGTCTAAATCAACGTTCTAAAGGAGGGAGGTCTTAGATATCCACAGAATCAGTAAGTCTAAATCAAACTCCTACAGGAGGGAGGTCCTAGATCTTCACAGAATCAGTGAGTGTAATCCAAGTCTTTCTTTGAGTGTTGTTTATCATGAAATAAAGCAATACACTATTTATAGAAAAGGAACACCAGGGGTCAAAAATAATTTGAATATACTAATCAAATTTTGACATCAAGTATGCAGAAGGAAAGTTTGGAAACAGATTTACATCATGCATGATTATATTCTCATGCTGTGTTTAAAATTAGAGAGGTTGTACTCAAGACGTAATGATAATGTTTTTGTAGAGAATATTCGCCCCTTGATCCAATCATTGACTGACCAGCAGCTGGCTAACTTCTGTCGCATACTTGCTGTTGCTATATCAGATCTAGATATCTACGAAAACAAATCCTCATGTAAGTATCCTCAATGTCATCAGAGAAATCTGCGTATTTTATCGTTTATTTCAATTTATTTCATTAATTAAGGTGCTGAAAATGTCAAACTTGCAATGTTTCAATCACTTGGTCTTTTGTTGTAGTATTTGCACAGAACAAACAGAAGAGAACAAAGGGATTTGTAAATGTTAGAGACATCAATCAAGGTAGTTTTCATTTTAAAGATTTTGGAATGTTAGTTTGAATACAGTTGTCTCATGTAGAGTAAATCTTGTTTCATTTTCTACATAGGAATGGATTTAATTTACTAAAATTGTGTAAAAATGTTAATACATGTATTTCTTTTCTTTACAGAGCTACTTTTAGGAATTCCTGAGTTGCTTCCTCGACTTGTCAACTTAGCAGTATCGAGAGACTGTAAGTTTCAGAGATTTTCACAAAGTTTGTTATTATTTAAAATTGTATTAGTGCAATTGAATAAAGGTGTTTAGAGAAGTATGTTTCTCTGTGGTTTGAGAAAAAGATATTTTAATTCAAACATCAACTTAACATCCTGAAATCTGTCCTTAACTTTGCTGAAACATGAACCAGTATATACATTATACTGTGTTTATTTTACAGACACTCCCCGGTACAGAGGAATGGTCAGTGAGCTGGACTGTTGGATGGAGTGGATGTCAAATGGCTGAGGAAATGTACGACAGTCCCTCAATGGATGACTTAGAGGACTTTATTGGAGGTACAATATAATTATTGTATTATATTGACCCAAACAGGTCATTCTAAACATTCCTAAGTAAAGTTTTGATCTTGTATTGTGGCCCATCTAATTCTGAACAGAACACAGCAGATTTATGTATACAAATTCAAATCACTATACATGTATAGAGAAGATGCTTACAGATTTATTTAAATGTTTCTGTAATGATAGCTTTCACAATCCATTTAGCACTCAAATAAGGTTGCATCTTTTCTAATTAATTACAGAAGGCAGGGTTGCAAATAACCACTCGCCCACTCGCAAATGCGAGTAAATTTTCCTGTGGGCGACCAGCTCTTGAGAATATTATCGCCCACATGGCGAGTAAGAATTTTAACCTTTTCCAGAATTGATCGTAAAAATGGTTCAACTATCCAATGTACTTTCGTTTTCATATCCCAGGCGGATTTTTCTGTGTTTGATCATTCAGCTGATTCCATTTTTCAAATAAAATGTTTTACGGTGTGACCGTTGGGGCGAGCGCAGTTGTACCATCAAAAACACTTGACACTTCGAACGTCAAAGTTTGTTATTATTTAAAATTGTCGGAGCTTAGTGCAATTAGAACTAGTGCAATTTTTGTCGGAAAACATTGCAGAGTTATTTCTTGTTTCTTTGGATTTCTACAAACTGAAAGTCTGATATATGCTTTACGTTATTATTTATTTATTTATTCGGCAATATTCGCGCAAAGGACATTGGGTAGTGCAGGAATTCTGAATGTTGCACAGTATAAATTTGGCTGTGTTTGTACAGATTTCAGTCCGAATTTCCTCGGTTCTTACACGTTAGTCTATTGAGCTAGCTTCGCGAGCGTGGACTGCTGCGCTCGCTATTAATTGTAGCTTTATTTGTGATACAAAATATGTGAATATATTCAACGTTTACCTTAAATTTAAAGAGTAATCATTATTGAGGACTTTTTTCTGCTGCTATAGGCAGCCATATATTGGGTGTCCATGTAAATATAACACCTGGTTAATTCAGTCAGGTATGTTTGGCATTTATAAAAAAAAAACGACATACATGTAAAGTTATTTGGGAATGTTACAAGTATTTTTTAAGCCTAATTCAAAATACATGCTGAAACAAACACAAAAGAAACAGAATTGAATTGAATGATAACAAATTCAACATTTAGTAGTGTAAAAGTCTAGGAAAAATTTGAAAAGAAATAATGAAATACTATAGCCATAAATGTTTCTGTAATGATAAGATTTTTTACAATCCATTTAGCACTAAAATAAAAATTTGGAAGTTGGGGGCATCTTCTTAAATGTTAATTACAGCAGAAGGATTGCAACTTTATGTGATTTATGCTATTCACACACTGAAAGTTGTCATTGTTGTAGAGTGCTGTGTATACGGATGATTTTATTACAGGTATATCAGAGCCCACTACTGCTGGAGGTCCTATGAATCAACAACAAGGACTGAAGATAACAGAGGAGCTGGTACAGAGGGTGGAGGTGGTCTATGTACTGGGACTGTTCCTTTTAGGAAAACACAGAAAAAAGGTATATACATCCATGCTATCATTCTTGCCAATTGACTTGCTTTTCAGTAGTCACACTTACAAAAATCACATCATTACCTATCACCACTGATCATTCCTGGGGTCTTCATTATTTCTTGCAAAACTATACACCAACACCCCAACAGCAACCCCATCCTCCCTGCACACCCACACACAAATTATGCTTCCAATCAATCATTACTAGGAGCTCAAGTAGCTGTTTTTGAAAGTGAGAAAAGATTTACTGAAGAAACATGTATATAATATATTTTGTGAATTTTGTATCATTCACAATTGATTAAAATTGTAAAATGATAAATCTCTGTTTTGAAGAGTCTTCTATCAACACTATTATAAAAAATGGGCTTCATTTGTGTTGTTTATAAACTTAAAAAAAAATTCAGATTTTTCCGTGGATGATACGCATGATCTTTCATTAAATGTTGCTAAATGTTATTCTTAGGTTCAAAGAAAGTTGGCAGAGTTGAAGTTAGCTCCAGGGTTGAGTGAGTTGTTTGACCAGTTCATCTGGAAATGTCAAGTGTAAGTAAACAAATTGTGTTCAAAAAATTGTCCATTAGTGTATTTATGTATGTAGTAAAAAAAAAAAAGTTCAAGAAATTTATGTTTGTCCCTTTATATTAACAGAAGCAGATACAGTAGTCGTCATCGCCTGAGGGGACATAATGCGGCGTGTGAATGCAGTCCTGTAAGATTTTGTCGTATACTGATCATTCTTTTTTTAATATCTGCCTTATTCTTCATGATGTAAAATGTTAGATTGTAGCTAAATAGATCTGTATTGATTTTTCAGGAAGTAGCTCTGAAGATCCAGTTCCTTAGATTGGTCCACAGCTTTTGTGATCACTCAGAGTAAGTCAGCTGTTTTGATTAAGTCTTTGAATTTTTCCTGATAATTGAATCAAATATCCCAGCTTATAATGCTTGATTTTCTTCTGTTCAACACATCACAGGCAGAGATGTAAAGTTGATTTATCCCTTCCTTTATCTCTTTCAGCTACAAGCACCTGCTCCTGTCTAAGAATGAGTTAAATGAAGTTGTCAGAATTAATAGTGAGTTTTCAGTTTTCAACCATTTGTTAACCTGTCAAATTATTTTTACCCAACGTGAATTAAATATCTATGTATTGTTAGTAAGATAATATTCTTAACATTTCCATGTGATTTTTTCTTCAGCCAAAGCAGGATCTCTAGCACTGTCTAATCTTTCCTCTGTAAACAAGTAAGTTACTTTTATGTTTCGTCATTAAATACCTGTTTTCAGTATTTAATAAATAAATATAGAGGAAATTCTAAATCAATAATTTTTTTTCATATTTACTGTTAAAGAAGAAGAAAGACTTCCTGAAGGGTTATTTCAGGTCAAAGACCTACTTTCAGTGATTGGGGTTCATTAACTCTATTACTTTCAATAAAATATTTTTATATATTCAGTGTATTAAATGCTTTTCATTTAAATGACCAGTTTAAAAAGTACTGATTCTATTTATAGACAGTTGATGTGTAAGGGCAGTAAAGGGCTACTGACAAAAAGTACTGATTCTATTTATAGACAGTTGATGTGTAAGGGCAGTAAAGGGCTACTGACAAAAATTGTGGAGGTGATGAAGAAGGAACCAACGACATCCACATTCCGATTCTGGCTGGCCCGAGCGGTGGAGAGCTATCTCCGTGGTAACACGTCCTACTGTGATCAAGTGTTTCTGATGAGGCGTGGCCTCCTACAGGTAAATTATCTGTCTGGGTTTTATAAATAAACACATTTACACTGGGTATCTGTCAGGGTTTTATAAATAAACACATTTACACTGGGTGTCTGTCAGGGTTTTATAAGTAAACACATATACACTGGGTATGTAGGGGGGAAACAAACAAAACAAATGTCAAAGTGTCAGGTATTCTTGCTGGAACTTGATTTCATCCTTGTACAACTACAACTTCAACTACAAAGAAGTTGTTATAAAGTATGTTGAAATGTCCTTTGAAGCAATTGGATATTTAAGAAAAGGATTCATAGAATGTAGAGTAGAAGTAAGTGCATTTATACAATGTTTATAATGTATTTATGATATATGTAGCATAAAAGATTATACATTGTTTATGTATTGATCAAATCAACTTTCTTTTTTCAGCACGTAGCCTCCAACATTGTGGAACATGAAATCAGACACAAAGAGATTCTGCAAAGTAGTTTTGATTTACTTGGAGAGCTAATTAAATTTAATGTAGAAGCTTTCAGAACTTTTGAAGAAATTCTGCACACCCAGCCAAATGTATGTATATCTTTCCAATGATTATAAACTAATAAAGGACATAGCGTAGTTGACTATTCCCTACGTTGTCTTGTTCATGAAAATTTCATGCAAAATCTTGCAAATGCTTAAGAGTTTTCATCAAAATCACCACCAAAAAAAGTTTAATTTTTGAAATACCTTAAATGTTTTAAAGTTAACTGAGAGCAAATATAAGGTTTAACAATAAGTTGTCAATGTGCTGTGAAGACTACTAGAGTACTCTCGTTGTTTTGCAGTTTGACAAATTCATCAACACAGTCAACAGAAACCTAGTGGACTCCAACATGTTTATACGTAGTCTGGTTCTCTCCCTTGAACACCTGATGAATGAAGAAACAGCATTCATGGGTAAGACTCATATACACTGCAATAAGGGCTTAAATATTTTCTTGTCATAAATAAATATTTGGATTTTGTGATCAATATAATTGTGACTGAACTGATTCTATTAAGTTTTATGACTGAAGGTATGAGGTTTTCATAAACATTTGATTATAATACAGATTATGCCAAGAAAGAGAACAAGTTATTGATGTACATTGGTGACTTCAACAGACAGCTGGACTATCTGTACAAACTCATCAAAATTATCAATGTCCAAAACCTCACACAGGTATTCAGGTTTCCTATTTGAGAACAGCTGTTAAAAGTATGGATAATGTGTTGCATTATGTACCTTATTGAATGAGCTATCTGCAAAATCGATTAAATTCTACATCAAGTTCTGTTGAGTTGAATGACTTGCAAGGTTGAAAACTACTAATTGCTTTTATTTAATGTAGGAAAATGTGAGTTGCCTGAACACGACCTTGGTGTTCTTGATGTTCGCCAATCGTAAGAATGCCCTGCCGAGGTACCTCCAGGCACTGAGAGACGAGAAGGAGGATGTGATGGAAGTCAGTGGAGCCGCCAACCTCCTCCGCAACTTCAGGTGTGTAACTCATTACTTACCTAAAACTGTAGTTAGCTCCAAGTCTTAAACCAGTCAAAAGATTATTGTGTACATTATATGACTTGTCACTAGTTGAATGCATTTAATAAACATTAAGCAAAAAAAAGGATTTTAACATCAGTTTTGATGTAATATTGGACTCAGATCTTTTGTTTTGCTTTCAGGGAGCTTTTGGTTTTCTGGCAGGATCATTACCTTCACAAAGACAAAGACTGCAGTGCTCTGGAGAAGGTAAACTATAGCTTGTTTTGTTGGGGAATTGTATGTACATGTGTAAACTTTGTCATTGAACTTAATGATTAAAAACATACACTTTTACAGAAGATCTTTGAAAATTTCTATATCAGAAGTGACATTGGTTTGCATCAGGAAAGATTGAACTGAATAGACATAATATATGCATCTTAAAAAAGCTTGAAAATATTTGGCAACAGGATCTTTCTTGGTCGTTTTTTATATGAATTGACATGTAATGTTTCAGAGTATAGAAATGCTTCAATATGATAATGACAGAGTTGATAAGATTCTAAGAGTTTATTTGCAGTATTTTCGAGTTTCGAAATTGGATCTATAAATGAAATGTGTACCAAAATTGTACTTAAAATGCTTATTCAGATAATGCTTAATATATATTGTTGATGTTATTTGATTGGTATGTATTATTTCAGAGTTCCCGAATAAGTTTTGACTACTGGAAGTCTACAGTATGTACTCTAGTCACAACAGACAAAAACGATAAGTGTGGAATCCTTCATTATGTTCAGGAACCAATGAAGTGTGACCGACCTAATTAATCATTGGACTGTGACAAACCTCTTCATTCTTGGTTGTCCTGGGACAGACTGTATGGGCATTAGGACCACTTTGTACAGAATGTCTTCTCACTGGAAGGCTCTTATGCGGGTAATTAGAGTCAAGTGTCAAAAGTTGCTTCATTTGTGCAATTAGTTTCATTTCGGTTTAACCTTGTGCAATGACATAGGGAGACAGACACCTGGATGGAAGCATGTGCAATATTCGGACCACATGGTGGTGCAAGTTGTGTGTTGAATGATCAAAACTGGTTCTTCATCTTATGAAACCCAGCCCAGTTTGTGTGAGAGAAATGATCTTCCTTTTTCTGTTGGCCATGACTGATTGTGAAATTTTTCATGTATTTTCAACTGTTGGATGTGATGAGTAAATAGCAAGAATGGATTTTTTGAAGTAACACAATGTGTTCATTTTTTTGTGATTTGAAGACACTTTGAGTGATGGGTAATCTCTTCCTTTGAAGAAACAGGATGGAATCAGGTTATTTTATTCCTGTCCTACAAGTGAAAGGAAGAAGGGTTTCAATGCTTTTAAAAAAATGTTTTAGCTTTTAAAATTATATTATTCAAATGCTTGTGGAACTGTTGTGTTTCAAAGCTAAGAGCATTCTTATTTCTTGTGTTTCTCAATTTCAGTTGTTGTAAATGATATATGTCTTAATTTATTCACACATGTATGTATATTTCTGCACAAAATATTTTGTGAGTGAGAAGTGTATAAAATTCTAGATATTTATTGAGTGATTGAGTAGCTTGTATGATTGTGTTTGTTTTACAAGTATTTCATCACCAACTGTATATTTTTTGCATTTTTTCATATATTTTTATTCAGTTTTGTTGCAATGTAAATTTCCTGGTACCGGTAATATGTAAAAAATAACAGGAACTTGTATTTTGGATGCAGTATGGAAATGGAATTTCTAATAAAAAATTAAACCTGTAGATCACTAAGCAAAAGAAGATTTCAAAATTTTTTTTTTGCAATGAGTTAAATCCAATCTCAGATTTTGTTATATATTTTGATCATTTTTCTCCGTCCATCATTTGATTTTGGAATCTTACTTAAATTCTTGTCATGTACATTTACACCATCATTACTTTCTCCCATGTTATCATCATTATTTGTGCCAAAAGCCAAGAAATCTCCAGTGTATGGGAGGGGTGTGAGAGACTGCCTGATTAGACTGTGAATCTGCTTAGTGTGTGCTGTGATAAAAGGATGTAAAAACAAAACCTTCAGAGGTCAAGTATTTACTTTATATTTCATATGGTTCTGAAGGAGTTGCTGTAAAATATGTGAATTAACAAATTTTTAATAACCATGATAACAATGTACGTGTATATTGATGTCTTTATATAGAAATGATAATTACAGAATTATTGTCTGCAATTGCAATAATCTGCTACAGAACAGAGTAATTCTTTTTGTTTGAGTTATCTCCCCCCTCATTGTTACAAGCATATCATCATACCATTCCGTCATTGTAGTGAAGCCTCTACATTAGTTTGATCTCAGGTAATCTATTTGTCCTTTATGGACTGAAGTTTTTTTTCTTTCTTGGTAAATTGGTAAGGATTATGGTTGAAAATATATTATGTTATTTGTAAACTTGAACTTGGACTTAAGATGAGCTTTTTGGACCTATTTAAAGTATCAACAAATAGTCTGTAATACTTTAAATTAATACATTATTTATATGATGATTACAAATCTTTTGCATTACACCAAAGTAATATATGATATTGATAAAGATATTTTAGGTTATATTTTAATTTTCTTCATAGGCTAAATAAATCCATTAGCTGCATAATTTTAAGTATTTATATGTGTTTTTTTTAATATTATGATATGTTGTAATAATTTCATTGCATTGAGTATTTTTTTTTTAATATTACAGTATTGTGTCATGAAACACATTTCATTGCATGAAAGAATTTTGTAAGAAATACTTCATATAGGTGCATTAAGAATTATTCTTAAGACCTTTTTTTTCTGTGACATATTTTATTGTGATCTGATATAAAAGAATGCAATCGGCATTGAATGCTTTGTTCTTTAATATGTATTGTTTTTAATTGTAAAAATGTACTTTTGTAAATAAAATATTTATTGTTACAAAATTTTATCACTCCTTATTACATCATCACATCACTGAAGAACTTAAAAATACATGTATAAGATTTCTGTAAAAAAAAAAAAAAAAAAAAAAAAAAAAAAAAGGTTCTGAGTTGTAATAATCCATACCTCTCTACCAGTGTCAACGAAATTCATTGTATGTTCTTTCACTGTAAACCATCACTTGAAAGTGAGTTGAAACACAGTATGAATGAAAAGTTTATAACATCTGAACCTATTTATAGTAGTGCTAGTGGCCTAAGGTTTAATTCTCTTGTCTCAAACCAATGGTTAAGATTTATTCTTGTTTAGTCATTCATAGCTTACAACTGTGTACATGTATATTGGTTCTGACCTGTTCTACCCAGAGTACATTTGTACATGTATTTCTGGTCTGTCGAGAAATGCATTCTCCATAAAGCTTTTTCATAGACTTACTGAACTAGCCTACAGATCTGTAGCTCGATGGCCTGAAAAAATTGAACTGACTACAAGAGAACTACATTGCTATGGAAAGAACGTGTATGTTTACAACACCAAAAAAAGAAACCAGTTTCTCATTTTATTTCTCCATATATTTAAACCGCAATTTTAAAATATTGTGGAAAACATTTTGTCTTCCTATATTATTTTCTCACTATTTTTTGATCTTGACTATAGAGTTTGACCCTCATTTTTAAAACTTTTTACTTTGGCCATAACTTTTAAACAGAACTATTAGTTTTCATATTTCACAAGTGTATTCCTTATGACAAGGGGCTACTACGGGTAACAACAATTTTGACCTTGACCTTTGGAGTTTGACATGCATTTTAGAAAATTCAACCCTCGCCATTAGCTGCCATACGGATAATTATGTTTTACATCTTGTTTTTAAATAAATGACATGCAAAAGCCATAATTTATGTATAACCAAGAGCAAAACCTACTGACATGACTGTTGCACAGTTTGAACGAGAAGAAAACTTGAAAAACCTTGATTAAACAAAGTCGGTGATTACAATGCCTTTAAAGGTTTTTAGCTCACCTGAGCCGAAGGCTCAAGTGAGCTTTTCTGATCACATTTTGTCCGTCGTCCGTCCGTCTGTAAACTTTTCACATTTTCGACTTCTTCTCAAGAACCAGTGAGCCAATTGAGCACAAGGGGAGATCATCAAGAAAAGACAAAAATAGGGTGGGGTCATTAAAAAATCTTCTTCTCAAGAACCACTGGGCCAGAAAAGCTGTAACTTATGTGGAAGCATCCTGGGGTAGTGTAGATTCTAAATTGTAAAAATCATGACCCCCCGGGGATAGGGCGGGGTCACAATGGGGAATCAAACTTTTACATAGAAATATATAGGAAAAATCTTTAAAAATCTTCTTCTCAAGAACCACTGGGCCAGAAAAGCTGAAACTTATGTGGAAGCATCCTTAGGTAGTGCAGATTCTAAATTATTAAAATCATGACCCCGGGGGATAGGGCAGGGCCACAATAGAGAATCAAAGTTTTACAAAGAAATATCTAGGAAAAATCTTTGAAAATCTTCTACTCAAGAACCACTGGGCCAAAAAAGCTGAAACTTATGTGGAAGCATCCTTAGGTAGTGCAGATTCTAAATTGTTAAAATCATGACCCCCGGGGATAGGGCGGGGTCACAATGGGGAATCAAACTTTTACATAGAAATATATAGGAAAAATCTTTAAAAATCTTCTTCTCAAGAACCACTGGGCCAGAAAAGCTGAAACTTATGTGGAAGCATTCTTAGGTAGTGCAGATTCTAAATTGTTAAAATCATGACCCCGGGGGATAGGGCAGGGCCACAATAGAGAATCAAAGTTTTACATAGAAATATATTGGAAAAATCTTCTTCGCAAGAAACACTGGGCCAGAAAAGCAGAAACTTATGTGGAAGCATCCTGGGATAGTGTAGATTCTAAATTGTTCTAATCATGTCACCCCCGGGGGTAGGGTGGGGCCACAATGGGGAATCAAAGTTTTACTATGTTGAATCAAAGCATCCTATGGTAGTGTAGATTTCAAATTGTTTAAATTATGATCAGTTGGGTAGGGTGGGGTCACAATATGTATAACAAGGGGGAAATCTGGTAAAGAACGGAATGTTCAAAACTTCTCAGGTGAGCGATGTGGCCCATGGGCCTCTTGTTTTTAAGAACTAGGAAACTTAAATTTAAAAAAAACTTGACTCCCTCAAAGTGAGCCATAATCCCATTTTGAATACAACTGCATTGAAGAACTTTCACAACCTAACGTCACGTGTGCAATCAACGCAAGCCCGAACAAGATGTATTTGTGAAACACTGATGCCCCCATATGGCAACAAAGCAAAGGTTAAACTTTTCTTAAATGCAAATTTTATATATTGGTACCAAAAGTAGGGTATTTTCACTGGAATTACAATTGTAAAAATGAAAGTATGATAAGGTTAAAGTTTATTCGTAAGTAAATATGTAATCTTCAAGATCAATATCATAGATATCCAATGAAAGGTCTTGGCACAAAAGTTAACTATATAAAGTATTGAAGCCCTAGCTCTAACCGTTCAAAAGTTATGGCCAAGGTTAAAAAAATTTAAAAGTAGGTCAAACCCCAATGTCAAGTTCAAAGGTCTTGCTTTCAAATGAAAGGTCTTGTCACAAGGATTAAATATGTAAAGTATGAAAGCACTAGCCCTAACCCTTTCAAAATTATGCTCCAGGTTTGCTTTTTTGAAGTGGGTCAAATTCCAAGGTCAAGGGTCAAAGTTCTTGGTATCCAATGCAGGGTCTTTTCACAAGAATTACATAAGTGAAGTATGAGGTCACTAGCCCTTAGCGTTCAAAAGTTGTGGCCAAGGTTAAAGTTTTTTCATAAGTACAAAAATCTCCAAGGTCAAAAGGTCAAGATAATTGGTATCCAATGAAAGGTTTTGCCACATAGAACACAAATTTAAAGTATGGGAGCCGTAGCCCTAACCTTTCAAAAGTTATAGTCAAGGTTAAACATTTTTAAAAGTAGGTCAAACTCCAAGGTCAAAGATCTTGCTATAAAATGAAAGGTCTTGTCACAAGGATTATATATGCAAAGTATGAAAGCACTATCCCCAACCCTTTAAAAATTATGGTCCAGGTTTGCTTTTTTGAAGTGAGTCAAATTCCAAGGTAAACGGGTCAAAGTTCTTGGTATCCAATGAAGGGCATTTTCACAAGGATTACATATGTGAAGTATGAAATCCCTATCCCTTAGCGTTCAAAAGTTATGGCCAAGGTTAAAGTTTTTTCATAAGTACAGAAATCTCCAAGGTCAAAAGGTGAAGGTTGTTGGTATTCAATGAAAGGTCTTTCAACAAAGAGTACATACGTAAAGTATAAATGCTTTAGTATCTACTGTTCAAAAGATATGGCCAAAGTAAAAGTTTGAAATTTTTGTGTAAAAGTGGGTCAAACTCCAAGGTAAAGGTCAAAAGGTCAAATTTGGTGGTACCCAAAGAAAGGTCTTGTCACAAGGAATACACGTATGAAATATAAAAATCATAGCTCCACTAAATCAAAAGTTATTGGTAAGGTTAAAGTTTTTGCGGACAAAAAGACAAACAGACAGAGGGAGAGACAGACAGACAGAGAGACAGACAGACGGACGGACACGACAAAAACTAAATACCCCCGAAACTTCATTTACGGGGGCTTAAAAAGCTCATTAAATAACAAGATCTTAAGATAATTGATGAACTTTTTATTCACGTGCATTCTTCATAGCTAGTGATGTAACGACTCACTAACACTTACATGTATTTACATTCGTCAACACTGAAGGTCTGTTTCCTTCTCTCTGATTGATTGGGTATGCATCCTTGGACACAAAAGTAAAGAGTATATTCACCAGTCAACCAGTTTAATTGCGTGTATGTAATTATCAACATATCGGTCATTTCCCCTCTAATGCATAGACATACGAGAACAATTTTTGAAAGAAACCCTATTTAAAGCAATGCATTGTTTATGACGTGGATAGCATTTAGTTTGGAGGGAACCAACATGAAGGTTTTGCTAGTTTTTCTCCTTGTCCCGGTGGTTTTTGCCAACCCTGCCCCACCGGCCTGCTCACCCCCGCAGGTGTCCAGCATCCCCGTCCAGTCGGGGTTTGATTTCGACAGATTTTCAGACAATGGGTCCAAGTGGTACCTTGTCCTGTATAATAAGATGATTGCAGTCCCGGGATTGAATGTCCCACTCGACGAATCCAATGTCTTCTTCCGATTTTTCAGGAACAGTAGCACCGAATTGACTGGCAAAATGGGTGAGTTTACTGGCTTTATGATGTCTTGTTTTAGTGTCTTAAATTACCCATTGTTAAAATTTTCCTTCCTATAAGAGTAAAAAACTGAGGTTTATTTATCTGAAATAAAACAAGCAATGTAGCATATCTTGTCTGTTTGCCCTTTCACCGTCCATCACATTTTAGAGGCTACTGTAGCCAAAAACGTACGTCTTGAATATGCCCGACCTTGTCTCCTAGATGTGTAGTACAGATTAAAGACCTAAGGGACCGTGGGGGCTCCAATAAGGTGTTGAACAAATTAAGCATCAATCTTCATTAAACCTGAAGTTTTTCAAATAGCAGCAAATTAATCACGGTATTTCTTTAAAGTTGCATATGATTGACCATGCTATGCCTTGAAGAAGTGCAATAAGGCTTTGCAAATCTATTTTTGCCATAGGGAATTAAAGCGGAGTTCCTTACAAATGTACAAAGCTTGTCAAGTAAATTTTCTTGTACTTTTTAAAAAATTAAAAACTTTTTAAATGGAAAGTTGTTAAAACTTCAAAAAAAGCCAGATAGAACCAGATACAATATGTGTATATTCCCAATGCAAGGAGCTATACTTTTTGTGTTGACAAAACACATGCATACGTGGTTGGTTAAACCTATCAATCATGATTTGGATTCATTGTGGGACCTCTGTATTGTCTGAGTGTTGATAAGAGATACTTGTTTTTGGAGTAAGTCCATTTCCAATTGACTCTAAGTCCTTTGTTGACCAATCTTGTACTTATTTTGTATTGGATAATTTACCAGTCATGTAAGGTCCTTCTACACAACACTTATAATCTGTAGATGAATTATAAGAAAGCTATTTTCTGAATTTAAATTCTTATCTCTTTTTCTCTCACATAAAGTTTCCTTGGAGGCAATTCCAAAATTATTTTTCAAATGAAATTTAATATTAAGGGACATTCATAACTTATTTTTCCCGCTAAATTTATCTGTCTAAACATTCCAGAAGGAGGCTCATTCCTAAGTGGTTCTTCGTAGGCCAAATATGCATCTAAAGACATTGGATTAGGAGGGGGGAAATATGAACATGTATATGGTGCTGATTGTAACCTGCGTTTAAAAATAAGACAGTTCATTTTATTTATACAAAATTTTATTCACATAAGTGAATGGGATTGGGCAGCAGGCAAAGCCTATTTTAGCCCTCTCCCTACAAGGTCAAAATGAACACACAATATATAAATTTAAAAATAATCACTAGACAAACATAGTAACAAAAACAAAAGAACAAAAACAAAAGAGAAAAAAAACACCGTAGAAAGAGAGAAAAAAAAAACTTTTTTTTTTTACAATGAAATACATGTCACCTTGTTCAGTTATAAAGTGTTGGCATGAGTAACATACATTACAATTCAAATAAAACGTTTGGTTGCTGCGATGAAAACCAAAGCGATGTACTGCTTCAAATATTTGGAATTTCTAATATTTATTTTTATGAGACAGTTCATTCTTGTATAGATCTTGATAAATATTTTAACCATTTTTAAATATTTATGATGTCAATGCAGAGTCGCAGACGGATGTTTATTAAACATGTCAATTATTTGATTTCAGTGGGAAGAATCCGCCTGAATAAGTTAATTCCACCATTCTGTACCAGCCAGAAATCCAAGATCACTCAAAGCACGGTAGAGCCAGCCAAACTGCACCAGACTTTCAAAAACCCTTTCTCCAAGAAACCGTTATCCTTTCACTATTGGATCCTCCACACGGACTACAGTAATATGGCGGTGGTGTTCGCGTGCCAGAAGGAACTGGGGGACGCTGTTTTAAATGTTTACAGTTAAAAGCGTTAATGGACGGTATTGGTTATCTGTGGACCCTGTCCTTAAATTGGAAAACCATAGCACACACCGGTAGAAATGGGGAAAATAAACAAACTAGCGACTTCTGTGTGTCTGAAAAAGTTTAGAAAAGTTAATCACCAGTCACCTTGTTCAGGGAAATAAATTAATCCTTATCTAAAAACAACCCATGTACTCGATGAGGATTCCAAGTCCAATGTGCCATTGTAAAGCAAAAAGTCCTATTTCATACCATATTATATCTTTTATTTGTTTTTATCAAATCACGATAAAAGTTTAGAAAGAAATTCCACGAAGACAGATATATGTCTGGACTGTATTCGATGTTTCTTTTTCTTTTATAAACCATTTAATTTTACTTTAAGACTAAAGAAAAGCAAGAACCTGTGAAAGGTTGTATAGTTCATGTCTCTGTTTTTCTTTCTTCCGGATTTTCACATTGTATATGATTGATAAAGCAATTTGTTTATGGTATAGCTTAACCAACATATTTTGTAGACTCTGGAATGTTTTCAATGATTAAAGCTTTAGGATTTAGAATAGGCTCTAGTCTGTGTTTTAAGAAATTGTCTTACTATCATTATGGTAAAAAGAAGGATCAAGCTCTTTTTAAAACGGAAATAAGCCATGAGTCACATACTAAGTTTATTCAAGATCACACAGTTGGAATGTTGCAGATTTTATTAAAAGAAATAAAATATGTCAGAAAGGACAAATATAATAAATTGTACGCAGGAAACTGCTATATTTTTTTTTCAATATTAAATTCTTTGGTTACAGGACGAATTCATGGGCTGTTTTCTTAATACTTAAATATATTCTTTGCACGGAAAGAAGGTATATGTAATAGAGAGAGAGTTTAATGTTAGCAATATCAATTTCTGCTTAGACAAGAGAAAATACATGAAACTCTTGTCAAGAACACGTGTATCATTGTTCATGTAATGAAGAGATTCTGATTACAGATACTATATTTGTCGTTTTATGACTGTCGGCTAAATACAAGTGTCATAATGGCGGTCCCTGTCCACACGAGACCCCGTCTATCATTTTCACCCCGTGATGTCACAGGTCAAAATGACAAACTCGTCTGGAACCTCAGCTTTAAGAAAACCATATATTAGACCAGTGTGCTTCGAGTCAATATTCAGAAGAATATCACAATGGTCAGCTGGGTAGTTGTTCAGGTGTTTTTGCTTGCTGTCCACTTGGCCAAATTTGTCCGGAGCCACACACACTCCTGTCCACAAGTATCTAATATTCCTGTCCAGTCTGAGTTTGATTTCAATAGATTTTCGGGAGGACAAAAATGGAACCTTGTCCTGTACAACAAAATCATGCCTATTGAGGGATTAGAGATGCCGGTAGACAAATCTGATATCGCCTTTCTCTTTACTAGGAATGCTAGTGATGCACAGGTTGTCAGTATTGGTAAGTATGCTACCATACAGGGCTTTATTACTACAGGAGAAAATTATAAAGTCATACAGTTCAAATTGATCAGAATGAAATCGTTGTGTCCTCTTGCAATTATAAGATGAGGATTCCAGTAAATTGTTATCTTTTATTATATAGAGGGGAGAGTAAGTTTGGCGCCCTCTCTTGCATTCTGCCTGGACATCACGGGGTCTGTCAGCAATCTCCCGGGACATCCAGCCAAACTCCGACAATCTTACTACAACCCAATGACAAAGAAGATATTCAGCTTTAATTTCTGGGTTCTACACACGGATTACAAGAACTTGGCTGTAGTGTACGACTGTGAAAAGACTATGACGGACGGAACATGCAGTCCCGGCAATATTTATCTCTGGACTTTGTCCAGGGGAACTAAACACACGGTTGTGGAAAAGGCAAAAATCAAAGAATTGGGAGACGCAGTGTGTATGGATGTTTTGAATCTCCGTCAAGTGAAACATAATTCTACATGCCCAACAGTTTAATGGCAGAATTAAATTTTCTCGTTACCCTTTTGTGTGGATGTGTTTATCGTATAACCATGATTTTTACCTTAATCTTTGATCCCGTTATTTTGTTATGATTTTAAATAATGTATGTGTCTCATTTCAAATATCGTTATCAGGGTCATAATCATTGTTTTACAGTTGATCTGCACGTAGCACCACGTTTCAATTTAAGTGTATGTCATTTTTGCTTTGTATTTGATCAAAGATTTGGAATGACCTTTATTTATATTTATTATTTCAAAAGATCGAGGACATCATGAACAGTTTGTCACTGAAGTTGATATTTAATTTCGAAACCAAACTCTTGAAATACATTATTAACTTTATTTTTCAATTTTTTGAAAGAGAAAAAAGCAACAAGTAAGAGAGATTGTCGGACTGTCATCGGCAAATTTCTGGAGACATGAGTTGCATAACAATACTTGCATAAAGGTTTAAATTAAATTAAAAAGTACTCCTGACCACAGACAGGAATAATTTAATAAGTAAATATATGTGTTTAATGAAAAGACAAACCGTTATGAAGAGCTAGGATGCACAATGTTAAAAAATGCATAAATTATGATTCATTCTACTGTGAACGGTGTGACCAGGGCGTCACGATTAAAATAAGAGTACCCCCCCCCCCCTAAACAATCTATGAAATCTAGCTAGAGAGAGAAGGATGCAGTTAAACCCGGTGCAGTGCAAAGAGAGAAAAGGAGAAAAGAAAAACTTGTGTATCCAAGGATGTTGCTTTTTCCTATTGTATAGCATATAATGGTAAAATTATTGAGTGGGTATAACTTCTTTATTGTAAATTTCGGCAAAAAGTTTTTGGGGTTATTATTTTTTTTTACTTCAAGATTCCAACGAATTTGTATTTTATTTATTCATGATAGATATGTATACGTTTTTTTTAAGATATACCATGTCCACTACAACAATGAAGTAACAAAATATAGATATATTCTCATTATTAATATTACTACATATGTAGTAATTGAATAACCCCCCCCCCCCCCCCCCCCCCCGGTTTCATAAGTTTTATAAACACGTGAATAGAGGCAAGCAAATAGAAATAAAACACAACTAAGTCATTTCTCATGGACGAATCCTTGTTTTGTGATTTGAGATATGTTGATTTATCTTTTTAATTGATTTGAACTATGCTTTGTACTTTTAAATATTTTAAGATGCGCAGTTTTTCTTGAAAAAATATTAAAAATATTTACTCTTACACGTGTTTTTTCATAATATAAATTCCTACAGGTAATAAATCTATGTTCTAGAGGTCTTTTCGGAGTAACTGGGATTTTTGTTTTTTCAGGAACATGCATATTTTATTGACAATAGAAACATTAATTTTTCGACCAGTGTCAATGTGCACTGAACATGGGTCATTGTTGACAAGCTGTCGAGAAATCAAAAGAATATTTAATTATTAATATGGACGGTCCGTAGTTAACTTAGTGTCACTGAGGAAGCTTTCATGAATTAATCCTTTCTTTTTCATTCAATTCTAGACAAAATTGGGAAGATAATTTAGTCTGTTTGGTGCCAGAAAGTCGTAACTAAATTGATAACAAAAATTATTTTTAATTCTTTTTTTTTAAAGTGCCTGCATAGAAAGCAAAGTTCCCTGCCACTTCATTTCTTTATTATTTCATCTTTTTTACGGAGATGGGCAAACAAGGCGTGCAGAATGTCTATACCTTCATATGCAAAGAAATCATTTTTTTTAAATAATTAATTTCGTAAATATATATTTAAAGAGAGTTATTGTGGCGGTCAGCCGGGTTCGATCGCCGGTGGCCGGATAGCTCAACTGGTAGAGCACCTGATCGGAGCTTCAGGGGGCCCGGGCTTGATTCCCGGTCTGGACTACTGCATTTTCTCCTCTCCCGTTACATTATTATCATTGATATTGATGAAATTATGGCAACAAAACATTTTTGCAGAAATTCTTCTTAGCATACATGATATTATTTATCAATAATGTGGTATTCTTGGGGTTCGAACCCAAAGCCATAAGAATTTTTAGTATCATTTCAACTTCTTTGAGACGACCACTTTACCACTGCAGAGCAAGTACCCACTCATATGGAAAATTGTTATATATGTATTCTGAAAAAATGGTAATTTTTGCCCTCATTGGTGTGTGTATGTTTTTTCACAGACAAGTAATTTCAATCTTTGTGAGATTTTTGCTTATAATGGGGATTTTCCATAAAGAAAATACGTTAATGGTTTATGGAACATCGAAAAAAAATTGAACAATTTGAGATACAGTTCTTCGCATCATAGGCATTTTGTTTGCCTTGTTCGTCCATAAATGGGGGATAGCTCGAATCGCCAGACCCTTTATATCCTGGATTCATGACCTTATCCACTACCTAGTCTGCTGACGGATATAACACATGTACTCTAAATCAATCTTTCTTTCGATAGGACCAAACTTAAACTGAGTTAACAGGGGATTCGAGATAACGAAAAATATGGGTGGTACTTTGAAATTGTCACTTTTCACTCTGCAAAAATTTCATAACATATACGTTTAAACTTATTAATTAATTTATGCACTATTATTAGTATGCGCGAGACGTTATGCTCACAAAAATTTCATTCTCAGATTTCAGAAAAAAAAATAAATAATAAAATGATGTTCAACAATAACACAACAAGATGTGTTTGTGAAACACTATGCGCCCGGCGGCAACAAAGTTAAAAAACATATTTTTTTGCTCAAAATAGCTTTTGTGAACCTTCATCATAACTTTTGAACCATGAGAGATAGAATTTTCAGATTTGGTATGCGTACTTCACTAATCACGTTTTTCAAATGACACCAAGATCAATGACCTTGTGACCTTGACTGTGACCTATTTTGTGCATAAAGGATACATTCAAGGTCACAAGGTCATTGACCTTGGTGTCATGTGAAAGGGCTTAATTAGTGAAGTATGCATGCCGAATATTAAGTCTCTATCTTTCTTCGTTCAAAAGTTATGGCGAAGGTTATAGGTTGCCGACAAAAAAGCTATATTTAGCGTATAGGTCACAGTCAAGGTCACAAGGTCATTGACCATGGTGTCATTTAAAAGAGCTTAATCAGTGGTGTATGCATGCCAAATATGAAGTCTATATCTTTTATGGTTCAAAAGTTATGGCGAAGGTTGAAGTTTGCAGAAAAAACTATTTTTAGCATATAGGTCACAGTCAAGGGCACAAGGTCATTGACCTTGGTGTCATTTGAAAGAGCTTAATTGGTGGAGTATGCATACTAAATATGCAGTTTCTTTCATTTATGGTTAAAAAGTTATGGCGAAGGTTAAAGTTTGCAGATAAACAGACAGACAGACAGACAGGACAAAAACAATATACGCCTTGGATCTTTCGATCCAGGCGCATAAAAAAATCCTGTTTTTTCACTTGTTTTAAATGCCATGAACTAATTTCGCTAAAGCATGGTTTCGTGAATAATTCCTTGATCTCCAGTACCCAGGATTTGAGATTTTAAAAGAATTAAGGGACTCCGACCCTCAGCCAGAAAGGACAACTCTTTGATTTATAATTTAATTCAAAAAGTCTTTAAATGAAGCTTGAAAATGAAATATTTTCATGCAACAATTTTCAGTATATGCCCCTCAATGTGCTGCAAGGTTCTTGCAAAGCTCCATAAATCACTTCTAATTTCATATCGTGTTAATAAACATTGGTATCTAAAAATACTTGTTCGGTTAATTAGACCTTTATGAGAAGTCCAAAGAACCTTAAAGCACATTGAGAAGCATATAATGAAAATTGTTGCATGAAAAGATTTAATTTTCAAGCTTCATTTAAAGACTTTTTGAATTAAATTATAAATTAAAGAGTTGTCCTTCCTTGCTGAGGGTCGGAGTCCCTTAAAGCATTTTCATAACATAATTAGTAATTAATTGAACTCCCCCGAAGACAAGAACCTCTTCCCCAGGGGAGGGAACCTTGCCTGATTCAGGTGACCCAAAACACGACACTGATATTGCCATTTGACGGTGCTTTAGGTCTATTAACTATTTTAGAAGAGTAATATAAATGTAATTAAATTTTCTTTGAGAACTAAATGAACATTGGCATGGATGAATAATTAACGGAGTTTAAACTCAATCATCAATGTCTTGAAAAACGAATATCTGTTTATTCTTATTACATTTATCTAACAAATACAAACATGTACACATATGTATAATTAATTACTCAAAGCGCGAGTAAACGTTTATACTTATTGTGGAATAATTTGTTATAGTTTTTTTTACGATTTTTATTTTGAATCATTAATAACAAGACAACACCTGTCTACACGTTGTTGATTTATACAGTTCTCTGACAGAAGGTGACTGCAAGACATGGTCTATTATCATTAGGCTGCGCGCCTGTCCAAATCTATTTAAAGTTATACAAAAAAAATCGAGCAAGAGATTTCTATATAAAGGAGAAATTCCCACTAACTTTCAAACTTGTGAGTAAAATCAACATGAGGTTTCTAAATTTTCTTTTGGGTTTTATTTGCCTCTTTGGGATGTTAAGCGTTGCCCATCTGTGTACGGTCAAACTCAATTCTATACAAGTTCAGGAGAATTTTCAGTTTGACAACTTTACGGAGTCTGCCTGGAATACGGTGAAATACAATAGATTTCCCACCATGGGAGGAAGGAATATCATACCCACGGATCAACAGTCTCTCTTTGGATGGAATGGGACTGAACCAATTGTAACAAACAGTAAGTTTATTGTTACAGGGAATATCTAAATGGTCCAAAATAACCATTCCACTCAACAGCTTTTGGATTGATCTTTTTCTTAAAAAGGAAACTTAAATATCTTTAAAGATGACAGTCCGATCGACAAACCCTAGACTGAAGATTCGAGAAATACCTTTAAGGAAACGCGTTCAATATGGCTTCTTATTTAAGGTTGTTCGTCCTCAAAGAAAGACCTTATTGCTATTCTTTTTCTCTTTAATTGTTTTCTTGACGATTTCTGCCTTGAATTTTTTTCTTAAAAGTTCAGAGAATTTGTAAAATTTTATTGAAGCAAAGCTGTTCAAATTGACCAGAAACAGCATGTTAGATCATCAAAAGTTGTCAAACGACGTCACTTCCGGTCAAATTGGAAGAAGTCTTAAATTGCTCATTTTTCGCTTAGGTTTCATTGTCAAAAGTCTCATATATTGGCCTACTTCGTTAGGATGACTATCTCGATATGAAATTTGGCTTGAATACATAAGTGCAAAATGCTTTTCTATTCATTCCTGTTTTTCAGCTATGCTGGACACCAAAATCATACCGGTATTTCAAAAAGAGTGTCAACTATGCGTTATTACAGCAAAAATGATATCTATCTTCAGTTGAACTCTTCAATTGCATTTAGAAGTATCGTTATTTAACGAAATGTGTTGTTAGTAGTTTTGTATAACATCTCTTTTCGAAACCTTTTGCTTAATTTTTTCGTGAAAAAAAATTCATCACACTAACATCTACACGTTTACAGTCTTGGATTTGTTATGTTTATATTCAACGTAAATGCATATATTTTCTTTCTATTACAGCGGTGCGCCTTCCAAAGTCAATGCGCTTTATGTGTTATTCAGAAACAGGCAAGGTCCAGTTTCTTGACAATAATCCTGCGAAGATGTTCCTACAGTATCGCAACAAGAGAACAAAAGAAACGCACGAGCAGACTCAGTGGGTGCTATACACGGACTACAACAATATTGCTATCCTGTATTCTTGCGAGGCAAAGCCCAACGAGTTGGTTGACGGAATATGTCCAAAGGATCACAGATACCTTTGGGTTCTTGCCAAAAAGACAGCTTTAACGGAAGCAGAAGATAAATTGGCAAAAGACATGGGAGCTGCCGTGTGTATAACTGAGAATCTGAACACTGTTGACCACTTAAAGCCTTGTAAGAAATAACAGCGAAAGTGAAAAAGACGCACTCCCAAACAATGCCAAGCTTTTTTATGCTTTCCATTTCATGCTTCATAATGATACCATTTTGCTTTCCCTTCATTAAGAAACGTCGGTCTCGGAGAAACATTTTTCAAAGAATGTGATATTGTCTTGGAATGACATTAAACGACTGTCGCTTTGCTATTTATTATTATACTAGGGAACAACGGTTGTTAGAAGGATGTCATCATTTTTACATGTGCCAAGTATTAATTCATTTCATTTTGATATTTCCTGTTTTCATGAATTTTTTTCTTTTTTTTTGCTTAATTAAAAACATATATTGTTATAAAATTTGTTTTAATAAAATCAATTATGGTTTTCTTTCTTAATTATTTCATGCAATGAGTCCTTTCTTTAATATTACAGAAAACTGTTCTGACAGAAACGTAGATGAAAAAAAAACAAGTTGCCAAAAATTGATGCAAAAAATAATAAGCGTTTGCCAGTTTCAACTCACATGTTGAATAGAACACATTTTAAAGTCTTTTTTCTATCACTTTCCTGGGAAATTGAAGTGAATACGACAGATTCCCATTCAGATGAACAACTTAAAAGGGCACAAAAAAACCGCCAGGACTTTGGTAGATAGAGTTCAAATGTCTGCGGAAATGAAATATGGTATATGGTTATTTCAACATTGTAGGGACTGGACATTCTTCTCCAATAGGGGACTGGACGTAAGACCCAGAGATGCACAGCCTCGACATGATGTTTTGGATCTGAGTAGAATTGAGTGCGAAGCTTGCATTGTCCTTGCGAAGAACCCAGAGATGGTCTTTATCCGGAGCACATCTGCCGTTATCGAGTTCCTCCTCACATGTATACCTGACGGCGTAATTCCTGTAGTCAGTCTCCATGATGTGGGATCTTGTCATGGAGCCCCGGCGCCGCCCCGTGACTTGGATGAGGTCCATTATCGGTCTCGAACCCTCTTCCATAATCGTGGAGAAATCCACACGCTCACATCGAGTAAACCGAAAACCGTTTTGCAAAGTCACAGTTACTTGCCCATCTGGAAGAAAAAGAAAACTTTTGTGTACATACCAGCCATAGTTAAGCAGAGGCCTACTCATGTTCCCTTACAAAATGTTCCGGATACTAGTTATTGAAATGTACCTTTTAATTGCATTGAATGATCGATTGTAGACTTTTTACGTTCCGTACGAGATTTTTTTTTACTCATTAGAGACGTCACAATATACCAGTGAAGGGCATGAAATTTAGACGTGTACAAAAGCTGGGGTCATTAGCCGTACATAATTCTATTGTGTCCACACCTACCCTGATACGGGTCGGGCCTCGGTTTTCAAGCTCTAATTCGAAAGACCCGCAACTTTTAATTCAAAGTGGCGAGAGTTTGGCGGAAGAACAGTTGCCACCTATTTTTGTCGACTGTCTAAACCCACGACCTACCCGGTATAGCTAATATCACGGAGCGAGCGCTCCACCGACTGGGCTACCGTGACAGTTCAATGGAAGATTAAGAAACATATAATTATAGAGATTTCAGAGCCGACTCCAAAACATTGTTTGAAGAAACGATGTTAAAAGATGTCAATTTTTGTTTACCGGTATGTTCTTAATTGTAGACTGAGAGTTTGTTGCTTCCCATCAGAAGATAGTTATGAAGTTGACAAAAAATGTTTGACATGTCAGTTTTTAATGTAAAAGATTTGTATGTACCAAATAAGAAATTAAAGTAGTCTTGGACATTTTTAGCAGAATTTTTTGTTATCTTGCAAAGTTAAATGCAAACCTACCAGTAGAACTATAGCTCTCCGAAAAAAACATATTGAGAGACCGGAGAGCTACAGTGCCACCCATTGAAAAAAAACTGTATATTTATTGCACACAAAAAATGTGCTAATTCTCGATTTATTTCTCAATTATTTTCTTAAGCCCTATTTACACGATCTGATTTGTAAGATGTGACTTGCCACATCTTACAAATCAGATCGTGTAAATAGGAAAAGCATAAGACAGATATATAAGTCAGATGGAATAGAGACAAGCTCTATTCCGTCTGGCAAGTCAGATGGTTTTAACCAATCATTGACAAGGTCAGAAAGGTTGATCTATATAAAGAAGAACTAACATGTGGATTTTTCCCGCACTTCTTCTCCAGAGATAATTCAGTATCAATTAATCTTATTTATTGCAATTAAAATGTAGGGGAATCCTGGGAGGACATTTTCTATTGCTTCCTCTCCATTCAAAATGGCTGGAAAGAAGAGAGAAGAACTGAAATCGTCCATGTTCTTCTGTTTCTTCTACGATTGTTTAAATGATAAGCAGCGGCTATCATTAAAACACAAATGGCTATTAAACTATCATCATCCTTCATTGTGAAATGTAAACAAAAAAATTTGGAGGGAAATATTAATGAACTTCATGTCTGACAAATCATACCATGTAAATGAAACACTGGAGTTAGATGTGAAATCACATCTGAAATCACATCTTACAAGTCAGACCGTGTAAATAGGGCTTTAAATTGTCATCTCAAAATATTACGAATCGAATTCCTAATAAATTCTTGAAATTGAGATCATTGAAAATTTCGCCGATTTAGACTGTCATTTTGGTTTGCAAGATAATTCGGTCTAACGCACTTTGTACAGATGTCAACTACGACAGTACTTAATAGAGGAGTAAGGAAGTTAAAAGATTAAACATTTTTTGCAATTGAGGTAATACTTTGGAGAAATTAATCCAGAATCGAACCCACTTTTTATGCGCAATAAATATACAGTTTTTACAATGGTATAGGCACCGTAGCTCTCCGGTCTTTCGGAGAGCTACAGTTCTGCAGCTAATGCAAACCTATCTGTTTTAATCAGGAGTGTGGGTCTCAATTCCGATGCATTGTAAATTTAGAGCATGATTTGTGTTGGCAATGGTATCACTGGCTGTGTTTTTAAGCATTGAATTTATAATTTAAATATTGAGTTAAAAATACAAAGATTTTAGGAGATCAGTGAAACAAATTAATGAGCAGTTTGTCCATAAATATTCTTCAGTTTTTATTTACCACTGTTTTGTAGCAATCGTCGCATCTTATCGAGAAAACTTTGCATCACCGGGTACAAAATGGAGTCCCGTTAATTAGATTATTGGCTAGAGAGAACTGAATGTTTATCTTCCATAGTATATTTAAGGAATCACTGTCTAGTTAGTACAGTATGCCAGGGCAACAACGATAGTGGGAAACATGGGATAATTTGCATAACGGGCGAAGCCCGTTATGCATAAATTATCCTATGTTTCCCACTATCGTTGATGTCCCTGGTATACTACACTAACTAGACAGTGATTCCTTATATTTCCATTTCATTGTGAAATAAAATTGTAGATTTAGACTTTAAAAATGTAGACAAAGATTTAAATTACACGAGGGCTCCCATGCCAATTTCACTAGTCCTCGCCCACTGACGGCAAACTCAAAGGCAGCCGCACGAGATTTACATGCTTATTTGGCCTCCTTAGTGTCAGACACAGACAGATGCACACGAGATTTGCATGCATATTAGTCCTCCTTAGCTCCTATCCTATCGACCTGCCTAATTTACATTCTGGTAGAATTATCAAGAAATCAACTCCGCTAACTTTCAAAGTGTTATCACAGAGAAAAAAATATTAGAAATGGAAATATTTAAGTTTACATCTAAGTTAAGCTATCCAATGAGTTAACTCTAAACAGAAGAGGATTTCAATGCTCCTGGAAAGGGGGTTGACATGGAGACTTGCGTACAAAAATTCGAGATTGTTTTCTGAGTTTTACTGAAAGACCAGAGAAGAGATTCTTTAATATCTATTGTAGAAATAACCGAATTCTGGATTCTTGGCATAATAGGACCTAAGTTACGACAAAAAGCGAATAACTGGTTTGTTGCATGGAACAATTTACAAAACATTTAGGAACACTAACCTAATTTTAAAATGTTTTCTACAAAAAACAAACGTGCCTATAAAGCAAAACGTTACCAGAGATTAGTATCATTTTGAATAAAGCTTAAGTTAATAAAATTCTTAATTTTCGCTAGCCAAGGGTTTCTAATACCTGAATACACTACTCTCCTTCAGGAGGAACCCTTGGCTAGCGAAGATGTTGAATAGTTTGAAAACACCTTTCGGAAATTGTCGACACTAGTGCAAAATATGGGGTAAAAAATGGTTAATGATGATAATGACAGGGGTAGAGAGGATACAGCAGAGGGAAGGTGCAATAATTCAACTGTTTTTACTATCTTTTAAAGAGAGTTATATATAAAGCATAAAATTTTTAAACTTAGGCAATGTTAATACTTACTGCTCATGATAATACCCCTCCCATCCGCTCCAAGGTAGTACCGAGACTTCACGTAACGGGTGATGATGCTTTTGATTCTGGGGGGAAGGCGTGTCACCGGACTTAACATTCTGTTGTAGCCTGCCAGGTGCCACACTCCACTGAACTGCTCGGGTCTGAAGTTTCTCTGCACATCAAAGTCATTGATTTTACAGCTTCTTTGTGACAGCACGGGGACTATGCAGAAAATGGCCAAAACAGCCCTATGAAAGACGGACAGTTTCATGACTTTCGGCTGCAGAGGAGAAAGGGAGGAGAGCTCTGAATAGCGAAGACTTTGATGAAAAAGTTTACCTTTTTGCACGCGCTTTATCGCGGTCAGAGTGTGGAATGGCGAAACAAGTAAATTTTTATCCTAATTATTTTGACAGATATTTATAAATATTTAGCTGATGTTAGAAATAAGTTTACGTTTCATATAGTTTGGAAGGTCATTTACCGCTTTACCATATACAAAGTTCTCAAAACAGAAAATTGAACAAAATTTACACAAGCTTACAAGTATTGTTTTTATTTCAAGCTTATTCTTATAAAAATAAAATGTTTTGCGAAATTAGTGTTGGTTTCATATATGCAATGGTATGTATTCCAAATCTTGATACCGTATGTGGAAGTTTGTTGTCTAATATTGATTTTCAGTAGAATATTTATCAAACGATCTGTTTGTGAAACAGATAGTAATAGCGCTTTCAAATTTCACAGGAATATTCCTCGTGAAAAGACCTTTCTTTGGATCCAACAATTTTGACCTTGGAGTATGACCTTTTTTTGAAAAACTATAAACTTTGCCAAAACATTTGAACATTTAAAAAATATGGGTCAGACTCTAAGTTCAAGGTCAAAATATCAAAATAAATGGTACACAAGGGAAGACCGTGTCATAAGAAATACGAAAAATGTCATGCAAAGACCTAGTACCGAATGTTCAAATATTATGGCAAAGTTTCTATTTTTTCAAATGGTCATAATCCAAGGTCAAAATTGTTGGTTTTCAAAGGAAGGTCTTGACCCAAGGAAGTATTAACTATTCATAAACCAAGGTCAAAGATTTTAGATTGTGGGTCAAACTCTAATTCTAGGTCAAAAGGTCGAAAATGTGTTGATGAATTCACATGTGAAATATGAAAGCCTAACAATAGCTGTTCAAAGGTAATGACCATGGTTCCAACTCCAAGGTCAAGGCCAAATGGTCAAATAGGTTGATACCCAAAGGAAGTTCTTTTCACAAGGAATAGATATATGAAATATGAAAGTCGTAACTTCAACCAGTCAAAAGTTATCGACAAATTATATGTTTTTGCGGATAGACAGTACAAGGCAGGCGGACGGACAGATCAAAAACTTTAGAACCTGAAGCTCTTTTACCGACTAGAAACATAGAGTCATATTTAGCACTAATATATAGACAAATGATAGTGTCTTCATTTTTAATAGAAAATTAATTAAAAGAAATGAAGTGTTCACCTGATTTTTCTTGAAACGGTTTATAAGATATTTAGATATGATACTTATTCAGTTATTCTTGGTTATTTACAATCCTATCTGCTATCATCACCATGTCTTATAGGCGCTTGGTTTCAGGATGGTGTATTTTGTGTAAATTATGTGCTTTTCTAGGTGTGTCGGAATACCCTCATCAAAATAAAAATAAAAATTCGCTGAAATAAGCACGTGTTAAAAATGTCATATTTACTGTATATAAAAAAAAGTACACATACACAAAATACACCATACTGAAACCAAGCGCATATGGTTTTATTTGCATTCATGCTTGTAACATCTTTTTACATTTTCTCTGAAGTTTTTTTAAACATCATAAAATTTTTAACAGACTATACTGAATTTTTAATACTGAAATTATACGATATAAACGATATATCCATAAAATAATTGTTAGGTGTGGTTTTACTTTTAAACTTTTTTTGCCCGGATTTCGAAACGAGTGCGACTTTTCATTTAGTTTGCCTGTTTGATTTCCGCCTGTAGTTTGGTTGCTGAAGCAGTGAGGCGGTAAGTAATCTATAGAGCCAACGGTTACCTTCTAGGCTGTAGACAGTTCTACCACAATCCTGATAAAGTATCAAGAGTAAGAATGGTAAAAATGCAAATGAAATTAACATGTTGCATGATTTTATATTAGGATGTAAATTGTAATGTTCATCAATAACGATTGAAAAAGAAGAAACTTATATTGATCACAGGGACTTGCTCCTGGCGTGTAAAAAATATTTATTAAAAAAAAAAAAACGATATACTATAAAACTACACAAGGGAGGACGCCATTTTGGACCCCTTCCTCGCTTCAACCTCTGTTTTCGTTATATTTTGCCGTATTTTACTGACTCACCGCCTGGGATCTCTTAAGAAATGATTCTTCTAAAACCTTATGCTTAGATTTCCCCCTTGGAGCCTCTGCAATACACTTTTCTGACTAAAAATAATCCAAACGCGCTCGTTAGGACAGTTGGTATGGACAGAAAGCGAAAGTAACCTCGGCGTTTTACATTCGAATACGGAATTAGATCATTCGGCAATCCTCGGCTGACTTCGAATGTGCTTTCGCTTTCTGTCCATACCAACTGTCCTAACGAGCGCGTTTGGATTATTTTTAGTCAGAAATGTGTATTGCAGAGGCCCCAAGGGGGAAATTTAAGCATAAGGTTTTAGAAGAATCATTTCTTAACAGATCCCAGGCGGTGAGTCAGTAAAATACGGCAAAATATAACGAAAACAGAGGTTGAAGCGAGGAAGGGGCCCAAAATGGCGTCCTCCCTTGTGTAGTTTTATAGTATATCGTTTTTGTTTTTTTTTAATAAATATATTTTACACACCAGGAGCAAGTCCCTGTGTATTGATCTAACAAAATGTCAAGGCATAAGTCATGATAAGAGAGATAAACAGGCCTCTGAATTTCTATAAATAAGCCGTAATGCGATTGATCAGATTGAAATATATATACTAAGTACATCAGGTGTATTTATATATAAAAGGCTTTAGGAGTATTCAGGTATAATTATGTTCCAGGTCAAGTGGTAGGCCTAGTGTATGATTTACGGATTCCTACTAAATTGAACTGGTGGGTTAACGTTTAGGGTAGCTCAATTGGTACAGAACTGGACTGGCATGCAGGGTTTAAACTTAACTGAAATTTCCACGAGCCATGTGGGCTCTTGACATTTCGAATTTAGGAGCCCACTGCTAAACTTGTTAGCCCACAGTCTCTGTGATTTTTTAAAAAGCCTTTTGTAGATAGGCCAACTGGGACAAAAAGTAGATATACAAATAAAATACACTGTATTGATACATCTGTTTAAAATTGGAGTTCTGACTTTATAAAATTCAAATGTTACATAAATATTTAATCAAAGGAAATAAAATTGAATTCAATCAAAACTTTTACTATCCTTTTATTTTACATGGTAATACATGTACGTAGCCCTTATACATATATTTGCTTTTTCAACTGATGAAGTGACAATGACACATTTAAGATTTTCTAGGTTAAATATTTCAACTACAGTATATCTGAAATAAGTGAAAACACTTACTATTCATATGACTGAGTAGTTGGGAGTTATTAAAATTGTATATCTCTCACGTATCAACCATTTACAGAGGGTTGGAGGAAATTCGGATTAGGAAAAAAGACGATCGTTTTAGGGATTTCACAAATCATTTAGTACTTTAAATTGAAAAGATGAAGGATATTTACGAACAATTGAACCATGCTAGTGTAATTTATATAAATTTTTCTGTAGTTTTAAATCAAAAACCTGCATAAAATGTCTGTTTTTCAGTAAGGGGACCGGAAATGAATTCGGCCCCTACAGCATTTTGATTCGCCACGTGGGCGAGCAAGTTATAAATTTTACGAGCCCACACCAATTTTTACTCGCAATTTGCGAGTGGGCGAGCGTTAAGTTTAAACCCTGGCATGCAAGAGGCTCTGAGTTCAATCCAAAGTGGAGGCTCTTACATGTCTGTTACATTTGGCGTTCATTTTGGGACCTGGGTAGTCTCTGGCTGATGAGAGTGATTTTCCTTAGAACTTCACCCCACAGGTCTCGAGACTTCATAAGAGATGAGGATATATCATTTCTGGAGGGGTACAATGTCTGCTAAGTAAAGCTAACTCAGATTAAATTTTGACATATCTATAATGACACAATTCAGTCACTGGCCACATGTTCGACAGTCGGCATTCAGATTTAGGTACTTGTGCTACTTTTGAGTTGAAAACAAAGGCAGTTTATTTTAATCACTTAAATATGTGCTGATACTATGGCATTATGTCAAAGCAGTGGTCAAATGTGTCTGCTCTGAATAACATAAAAGACTAACTCAGCAGACAGAATGGCCTTATGAAGACATAAATGAGGTTAAAAATTATTTCATCAACATGACCAGTTGGTCTAGTTCACAAACATTTTACATGACTGGACCACTCATTTACTAGACTGGGTTGCTGGGATGGCCTTAATGTCAAACCCTGAGTCATTAGTGGCATTGTGTACAGTCAGTACAATTTTTCACATGTATGGGTACTTTCCACACAAAAATTAAATACATAATGAAAGAATTCAACATTTTTTCTTGATTTTTTTACTTGCTTCAAATTTAAATGCCATATTGATATTCAAAACTCAGATTTTTCATGATTAGTAAATGCACTGAGTTTGAGTTTTCACCTGTGTTTGCTCATCGTCGCAAACCACGGCCAAAATGTATGATGCTCTCCGATTTGGCCGTTGTTGATTGAAAAGAGAATATTTCGTTGCTCATTAAAATATTGACCAATGCGAGTAAAGCATAGTCGAATAATGAACTTTGATGCGACCTTTCAATACCCAATCGCATTGTACAAAATACTGCTGATGTAAATTGTTGATTTTAATTGCGATGGAAACAAAACTTGTCATTGACTGAATATGATGTCACAATACAAAGGTGTAAATATTCAAGATTAATACAAAACTTTTTGTGATCAAGCAGCCAGGGGTAAGAGAGAGCTATATGCAGACTCTGGACTGTGGCTTGAGACAATAGTGTTTGGTTTGCTACACTTCAATGCATCGAACACATTCTATCGTAAAAACTGTGTTAATGAGACATTTATCAATTTAATGATAGAATATTCTAATCTATTTAACTTAGAGCCAATATGTAATATGATCAAGTCAAAAATAACTCTGTGCACCAGTTTCTGATTTGAATTGAATGTACTATCATGGTACAAGTACAACGGTTACTAAAGTAAGAAATAAATGTTGAATTTCTCATGATTTCAATTATTTTAAAACTTGACTGGGCTCGTAATTCTTTTCATTGAT